CCCCAAAACCCCAAAACCCCAAAACCCCTTATATGCGATAATACATTGAAACGTGGTATTTCCTTCCCGAAGGTTCCATCCTTCATCATTACCTACATCTATCAAGAGCATTTCGGGTGACCAATATCAGAAAATATAGACTTTCTAGTGAGAACTTGGAACGTCCAGACAGGGAGACTTAAATTCTCTAAATCAATTTCTTTATTGTTAGGAAAGAATTGGAATTTTTAATTGGAGAACAATTCTCCAATCAATTTTGAATGGCATTACAAAGACTGTCTAGTTTTTCTTGGATCATAAGGCAGATCATCTGGGATATACTCGTCGTTACTGGGTGAAGGACCTCTCATCGGTTGGTTTACTGGGAAGGAAGGCTGGGCTCCTACTGGGCGAGGGTCTACCCTCTGAACTGGAGCTTTAAAACTTGGAATTGATCCTAATGGCCTCTTTGGCTCTGGTTGATATTGAAAAGTGAGATTTTGCTGACTACTTGAGTTATGAGCCACACTTGAATAAAGAGTATCAGTGTCATTTAATCTCTCAAAGCGGAATCTTGGATTATATCTAGATTTTCTTGCAATAATGAATCAAGAAATGAAGAGTCCACTTTGAGTAAGAGCAATTATAGTAATCAAGAACATCAAGAAGAAATTTGCATCTCAGAATAGAGCATGATGGGAATGTGAATGTCATGCCTTTTTGTCAACCATCATACCAAAACCTAAAAATTACTCTATAAATTTACCATTATGCAGGACACCGAGGACAGCAAAGATGCCTATTAGCATACAAGTTATAAAGGGTTTTCCTGATCTCCCTGCCATTTTCATAGACACAGGAATATTGGCTGCCCAAAAGAAGACATTTGTGACAAAAAATAAGTATGAAGTGAAGGGTCCTAAGCCTGAGAAGGCATAGCTGCTTGAGAACACAAAGAATGGGATGTGGAAAATTGCTGCGAGGACTTGTGCTATCCTCATGCGCTTCCATAACTGTACTCTCTTTCTCTCGTACATTGTTAATATTTTTTAATAATTTCTCTGGGGTTTTGGGGTTTTGGGGTTTTGGGGTTTTGGGGTTTTGGGG